TTTGCCGCAATATCCCCGCCCACAAATACGGCTACGCTAATGGCCATGCAACGCTCGCCTGCGCTGCCGTACGCTGCGCCGATAAGGGCATCGACCACTTGCTCCACATCAGCATCGGGCATGATGACCATGTGGTTTTTGGCCCCGCCCAAGGCTTGTACCCGCTTGCCGTGGTGCGCCCCAGTTTCATAAATATAGTTGGCGATAGGGGTAGAACCAACAAAGCTCACCGCCTTGACATCGGGGTGGGTCAGCAGTGCATCTACCGCTTCTTTATTGCCCTGCACCACGTTAAATACGCCGTCTGGCAGCCCCGCCTCTTTCAACAAGTCAGCCATCAACAGCGAGGCACTGGGGTCTATCGGGCTGGGTTTGAGCACAAAGGTGTTACCACAGGCAATCGCCACGGGGTACATCCACATGGGCACCATCACGGGGAAGTTAAACGGCGTAATGCCCGCCACTACGCCCAGGGGCTGGCGCAGCGTCCAGTTGTCTATGCCGGTGCTCACCTGGTCGGTAAAGTCGCCTTTTAACAGCTGCGGCACGCCGCAGGAGAACTCCAATATATCTATGCCACGGCTCACCTCACCCTGCGCGTCGGTAAATACCTTGCCATGCTCCAGCGTAATGGCCTTTGCCAGTACGTCTTTGTGCTGGTTTACCAATTCTAAGAATTTGAGCATGATACGGGCGCGGCGTATCGGCGGTGTGTCAGCCCAGGCGGGGAAAGCTGCCTGGGCAGCAGCTACCGCAGCGGCGACTTCGGCACTACCGCCTAAGGCAACTTGCCCTGTGACCTGACCAGTGGCGGGGTTAAATACGTTTTGCGTGCCTGTGGCTGAAGTGCGTTGCCCATTGATGTAATGGCCAATGGAGGGAATAGAAGAGGTATTCATGGTAGTAAAAGTTGGGTTGTTATGGTTAGTGATAGTAAAAAAGTGCTTAATAGCAGTATAGTGCAAAGACTAAATAAAACGAAACGTGATAGCGCTCCACCCCCT